GCAGTGGGAAATGAGATTACAAGAGCAAGCATGGCAATCCGGTTGCCATGGTAAACAACCCTTATGCACATAATCACTTAAGGCTTCTGGCAGTAGTGAATTCAAAGTCATAAATGTGTGTGTGTGTGTGTGTGTGTGTGTGTGTTTTACTTTCACCCTGTCATTCATGAAAGCACATGCATCTATAAAAACATTTCTTGTAGTTATAATTTAGATTTGCAGATAATACTACACGTGGTTTGGTTCTAAGAAGCCATATTTCAGTCTGAAAAGATAATCCAAAAATCCATTAAAATCCTAGAATTATTCCATGTAAATTTCTTAATTAGCATATTACCCAGTAAAGTTTTATGTCAATGTAAAATATTTTTTAGTTTCGTTAAGTAGGTTAAGTTTTCCTAGGCTAAATGTAGTTGATTAAATTCTTCTTCCATAAAGCAAATATTCACTATGTTAGACTCAAGATAATATGTGCTAACAGCCTTTCTTGTCTAACGTTACTTTCTCTAGTAATTTTCGTCATCTCTGATTCCCCAAACACACATAATTATTCTTCTGATCACTTCAAATTTTCTTAATATTTTTATTTCTTTTATTTTTTATTTTTTTACAGCTGGCTGCCTTTTTGTATTACATATTTGGCTACTCTCAGAATTGAATTACTCTCTCCTCTAGTGAGGCATTTATTCCTTCACATTCTATAAAGCAAAAGGATACTGGTAATATAAACAGCAAAAGCAAAATATTTATTTTCCCTGGAATATAATAATAATAATTTCATAAAATCTATATAATAATAAAATTTTACTTCATTCTATCTCCCCCCCCCATGTAAATGTTTAGTGTCAAGTAGCTATATTTGTTGTCCTGTGTATTTTATTTCCTAGTTAATGAAGTTATAATCATTCTTGAAAATGTAATAGCTGTTAAAACAAACTTAATTTGGGACAGAGCCATTGCACAATGAAAATGCTCTGTCTGAAATGCCCAGTAAACTGATTTTCTAAACAATATATTATATAAATTTTCCAACCTACATACTTTGTTTTTTAACTCGACATTTAAAATATATAATATTAAATGCTGATGATCTTTTTGAGTTGTCTTCCAAATATGATATCAGTGCTGAGCTATAGCTAAGTACTGTAATTCAATTTGACTTGTCTCTATATTAATTAATTAACCTTTAACATTTTCTGCAATAGTGAAGCTAAGTTAGATAGTGGAAGACCAAGCAACATTTTATAATTATTATTACCACAAAAATAGCATCATTAAAAAACAACCATAGTAGCATGCCAACTTTGTGGATATCACCTACCAAACCACAAAACCAAATTAGCATATTCTTCGTTTATTTTTTTATTAGCTGTTAGCATTAGACAGAATTCCCTGTTGAAAGTCAAGATTAGCTGGCATGGGTTTAGTATTTGTCATTGCTTGAGTTTATACAACTGCGTGTGCTGCTAATTATATCCATTTAATGGGTTTTTCCATTATAATTTTAAAATGTTTTGCCAAGAATACATTTTATTAGAGACCACAGGCACCACTTATCACTTAACAGTATTTTTCTCAAATATAGACTTTGATCTTAAAAAGATCAGACTGAAATAATTCAACTCATTTATATAAAAATACAAATTAATAGGCATAGACATACTTATAAATTTAAATGATTTCTGTACTAAAAATAAGATCAAAGATTAGGAATCTATTTTGTTCCCAAAACTCAAGATTCAATAAAGCTGACTGTCTCTTTATCTCCATCCCTGATTAGACTGGATCCTATTTCTGTCTTGGTTAATGGCTTCTTAAAATTAGATAGCCTTTAAATCCAGGCCTTTCCAGGAATCATGCTATGGTACTCTGGAAAGAATCTTAAGTTCTGGCTTTGTGCATAGCATTAAACAAACAAACAAAAAAATTTTTTTGAAGTATTTAATGAAACTGAGTGGTGTCAACAGTCCCATTTATGCATTGTAGGTTTTTAAGAAAGTAATCTTTTGAGATTAACTGTGTAATTAATTGGAGGAGACAAGAATTCATTCTTAAAGATAAATTGTGATTCTTTATAGTTCAATTTCACTGTATGAGGACAAAACTCTCTCATTTAGATCTGACTGTGTGGACCTGACATTGGAAGCAACTACCAGAAATAAAAGATCCATAAAAAGTAAACAATGAGGGACCATTGATAATACTACGTTTTCCTAGAAACATTCTGTTTGAATCCTTGGTGCCTATTTTAAGGCTAAGTCTTGGTCATCCAAACAAATTGATTTAAACAACAGACCTATTAAGCATCTACCAAGTTATTCATCAGTCATAAAACTCTATAAGGTAAAAATAAAAATTCTAGAAAAAGAAAAATATATAGGAATGTAATTTTATTCCACTTATAAATAAAAATGTTTTGCCATTTCTAAAACTTCATATTTCCACTTAGCGAATAAAATTCAGCAAGAGGTTTTAAAACTAGGAACTGGCGATTGGTCTAGAATAGTCTTAAGAACATGTATACAGAGATGCCATTCTGATAATTCCAATTCTTACTACTTTTCAGAAGATATGTAAATTTCTAAAGCTAGAGTTTGGCAATACTCCCTCCTTCGCAAGAATTCAATCAATCTAATGGCATAGGGTGAGTGTTTTACATGGAGCTGGCAGAATAGAAAATTATTCCATCAATCACTCAGTCTCTCCCCGCCCCCGCCCCCTTCTGATTCTACAGTGTGCACAAAAGAAGGTTACTTATTTATGGTTTGGTAAAAGTCCTGGATAGCAGAGTAGATAGGAAAAGCCTCTCAAATAAACAAGTACGGAGCCATTATTAAGAGAAAGCAAGACCAATTTTTCATGAGAAAACATCCTAAGTAAAATGAATAAACAAAATACCAATTTGGACATATTTAAGGGCTACCCTTGTGAGTTCATTTAGTAACCTGCAATACTCCTTTAATAATAAGCAATGCACTTTTACGTGGTCTACAAGTGCTATCTATTACAAGAGGATTCAATAACTGAAATGATTAGAAAATATAATGAGAAAGAATTCCTAGCAAAGGAGTAGAGCTTGTATGCTAACCTGGGCAGGATCACATTCAACACGAGGCCTTTGGGAAAATCCTTCCTGGGTATGCAGGCTATTCATTTGGTACTACACTACATATTATCTTTTAATGAAACACCTGTCCTAACAAAATACATCTTACTAAGTGAAACATTAACATTATAAGAACCAACATAAAACAGATAGTCATCAAAAGCTATCCCCTCACACACATCCAAAGATAGATATTATAATCTCTGTTTTGCTTGATTTCATTGAGATATCAGTAATTGTTCGCGTCTATAATACAGTGTCAAAGACATTGGAAGACTCAAACATATCTTCTCCTTCTGCCCACCTCTCTCCCCCCGCCCCCCACTTCTATGTTTGTTTTCTCTACACTTATAACAGGAGAAGTTTCAACTTGGAAAGAACGTACTTGCCATTTGACATATATACGCCCTTTACACAAGAGTTAACCATTTATAGCAAGCATGTCAAACTCAAAGGCTAACATGGGCCAAATAGACAAGGTTTAAGTTTATGTGGGCCACAAAAAAACAAAAGCTTCAATTTCCATAGAAACGTAGGTTTATTTTGAAAAGTATAGTATTAAAAAAAAGTACAAGAGCAATGATAAAATTGTTTTCTTCCTGACACTTGGCATCTCTTCTCTGCTACTGTCTTTCCTACTTCGGGGGAAATCTTGTTCACAGTGATTACTTTCAAAACTGACCCAAGGTGAATGCCAGTAATTCTGGATCTGACCGGAGACTTATTTCCTTTCATAGTTGTAAATAACTGCTCACACTATTATACTGTCTGGGCCGCAAAAATATTCGTTGTTGGCCACATGTGGTCCATGGGCCGCGAGTTTGACATGCTTGATTTATAGAACAAACTATTTTATTATTTTTTCCCTGCAATTTCTAAGTTGGCAATGACTCAACCAACATAATAATTCCTATTATTGTCCTTTGCTGCATCGAATCTATTTTACACAGTTTCCTTTCTTCCTTCTTTCCAGTTTGGACGTTGCTCGTTGAGTCAGACTTCCTGGTTTGCTTTTGATGAGTGTGATGCCCCCTCCTAGGCAAGGAAGGAGGGACAGCTCTCTAAATAGCAACTGTCAATGGAAAATTCAGGACACAGCCACAGCCAGGCACGGCATGTTACAATGTTGGCAAGTGTCACTGTAACGTGGCAAAAGGAAGAATAAATTGTTGTCCAATTCTCTGACCTGCGCCCTGTCAATTAGGATGCTAGGATAGAAACGTATGTCTTTCCCCATCACTGCATCAGTAGGGTAAAGGGCTTGTTGCATCATGCAAAATAAAATGAGACTGGAATGAAATAAGAGCTATATGACTTTTTCCATGTTGGCATAAAACTGAAAAGGCAGGATTGGTCATTAAGTTATAATTAAGTCTTAACATTTAAGCAAAACATCATCTTACATTGTCACAAAACCACCATGTCAGGTAAAAGCAGCACAAATTGTTCCGGACAGCGCTGGTAGCCAGGAAATTCTTTTCAGAGGTATCTGTTCTTTGGATTTTCCCGATTAGTACTCAGCAGTGAAGTGAGGGACCCGATGTGATGATTTAAATATTCCCTGACAGTGTGTATATTATGTGATTCAAAACAGAACACAAATTTTCAACCCATCATAAGTGCTTTGATAAACTGTATCACAAGTCTTATTTTATCACGATCTATGTTGTACTTAAAATATCTAAAAGTGCAAAAGTAAAAATCAAATCAAAGTAAGATCTCTGTGTACAGAGTATATTGACGGTATGCGAGGGAGGGTTGAGATTTGAAAGTGGTCTGGTATAGTAACCTTTCCATTCCTTGTATGTCATTTATTTTAAAAGGGCATGCACGCATTCTCACATCCACAAACACACTCAACACACATGTGTATATAAAAAAAAAAAGAACTTACACAATTTCATCGTTCTGGAATTCGAGCTCTCCACAGGTGTCCTCAAAGTCTTCTCCTCCACCTCTGGCGGTCCCTTCGATGGTTTTATAGGGAACGATAACATTTCCTCGAGCTCCAGATGTTCTCAACACTTTCACCTCCATGATGCCAATGCTCTCACTCACATGCGTCACGGGCTCCTCAAAAGTAAAGATGCCCGCGTGGTCGTCATCAAAGATAGTCACGGTGGCCGTGGAGGGAGAGCCAAGGCACGCGAGTGTGGAAACGTGATTGGCTTCCAGTATGCCATCTTCTGAAGCTTCTGAAGTCACTTTGACGTTGCTGAGATGCACGAGGAAGTTCTCATCCTCCTCGAAGATGTCGTCATCGATGATGCCAACTCTGATCTCCTTCTGGGTCTCGCCCGGCTTAAAGACCACGGTCCCTTCAGTAAATTCATAATCAGACCCCGCGTTGGCTGTGCCATCCTCGGTTCTGAAGTCAACAAACACCGTGTTGGTCAGATCGCCGCCTCTGCGGATAATGGTCAGGGCCACCGTGCCGCAGTTCTCCAGACACTGGTATGTCCCTTGCTCGAAGAAGATCTTACTGACAGGGTCCGTCTCAGCCACTTCTGTGTTGACCTCGTGCATGCTGACAGCCTTCCTTGCTTGGTCCGCTGCGTGCCTCTTTAAAATGTTGCCCGCCCCAGTCATCAGGCGAGTAGCCTGAATGCGGTAAAAGGCTCGGCTTTTTTGCTGCTGACTTAGGACTTGGTAGTTAGCTAATTCTATCAATTGCTCTATTTCTTTATCTGGATGCTTCTGCTTGAGCTCCTTCAGAATCCTCGCCATTTCTCGCCTCGCCTCTTCGTCGTCCTGGTCCCTCTCATCCACCTCCAGAACCAGAGCCCCGTCTAAGAAGTTGTCAACGTGGGAATTGACCACTTTCCCATCCATTTCAATTTCAGTCTTGGAGGATGGCCTGTCTCCTTCGTGTTCAATGATCATTCCCCGCTGCTTGCCAGCCCGATACCGCTTGTAGACATACTTGTAGAACAGAAGCCTCCTATCTGCTACCCAAGCAAACACCACGCAGATGGGAAAGAAGAAGAAGGTCAGCAAACCTTCCCAGACCTCCACCACCCCAGGAGAGATGACGGACAGAATGATGTAAAGCCAGGTATAGGCAAAAATGCTCCAGGCCGCCGTCACGAAGAACACACGCAGGTGCTTAATCTTCCTCGTCTCTCCATCTGGGACCACGTAAACGCAGAGTGCGATGATGATGAACATGTTGAATGCAGCACTCCCCACGATGGTGCTGGGACCCAGGTCTCCCGCGGTGAAGTTATGGCCGCACACTTCAATGACTGAAAGGAGAATCTCTGGGGCAGAAGACCCCAGGGCCATCAAGGTCAGGTTGGAAACCGTCTCGTTCCAGATCCTCACCGTTGTCTTGGTGGTCTCTCCATTTGGCTTTTTGATGGTTATTTCCTTTTCCTGAGACGTGATGACTTCTATAGAGGACATGAACCGGTCGGCAATGATCGAGACTCCAAGAAACATGTAGACCATGGCCACAAAATACACAGTCGCTCTAGCAATTTTGTCCCCAAAGGAAGGGTCTTGGGGCTCCCAAATGGGTAAAATCACCCCTTTCTTACAGTAATAGGAGCCAGTACACTCGTTAGTTTTATTGCCTTCTCCTTCCATTTCTGTCTCGGCACTTATATGGTCCACATGGGAAAATAAGACAGCCACGATGACTAACAGATGAAATCCCAGCGAAAAGGTGGGTGAGAGACTTACTCGCAGCATGTTGTACAACGGCTGACTTCCAGCTGTCCCAACCTACTGGGAGAAATAAGATGGGGGTTGGGTAGGAAAACGAATCACATCGTTAGAGCCAGATCCAAAGCATGACTAATTACTTATTTTTATTAATCTTACCAATGATTTGCTCATACCTTACCATCCCACCATCTATGGTGAATCATTATTCTAAGAACCCACCAGGGATTAAGTCTACAACTTACTGTCTCTGCTTGTGGATTTTCTACATGCAGTCCTCATTCACTGAACAATGTACACAGTTGTCTTAATGGAAAAGAACAGTTCGATTATAGCCTTGCATTGCTGTATGCATATTTATGCATGCTAACAGCCAATTAAAAAAACACTAAAAACTTTTTAAGCATTAAATAATTTTCTCCTTGTTGCTAAAGCACATGTTCTTTTAAATTTTGGTTAATACAATCACTTTCCAGAAAATGTCTCATTGCCAAAATCACCTTATTTAGATTGATGCTTTAGTGGAGGTCCTGAGGTGTCATGGATGAGGACATTAGGGTCAGGAATGTTACCTCTTAAGTCATTTCTCCTTCCATTAATATTATTTGATGTTTTTCCAATCCTTTGTAAAGTGGGGGTAGAAACTGATTTAAAAGATTTTGCTAATTTTATAAACCTAAATAACTCAAAGAAAAAGCCAAAAAAAATGATGGTTTGAAGTTCGGACTTTAAAAATCCAAACAAACAGAGCCTGGTGATCATCTTAAACTCTGGAGTGCACCTCACACTTGGAAACACAGAGACATCTCCACGCTTGCCTGCAATCAAAGCTCTGTGTTATTCGTACTTGAGGGGGAAAATTCTGCTGTAATGCAATATTTCCACACACTGAGTACAGTTTTTAAAAGCATGTTTGATGAGAGCACATTTCCTCCTAATTTTCAGCAAGCCCAGGTCTCCTGATGCATTAGCAGCTGGCCAGCAGGTTCTACATGCACAACTCCTCACATCTGCATACGGATCTGGCTAGTTCCTCTGCAGGCTGTCCGCAACAGGAAAGGGAGACAAGCAGGCCCAAGATTGGTGGTGTGTGTAAGACTCTAGCCTGGCAGGCTGTGAAATCAGCGTTACCAGCCATAAAGTGTTCCTTCTCGGCGGTGATGTCATACTTTCCACGATCCTTCTAAAACACATCTTAGTTCTATAGAGGGTTCAAGTGACCAAAAAGTACAGGAGTGATAATTCCATCTAAATGAGCTCATGTGGCAGGATGACAGTGACCACAAAGTGACATATGATGAAGGGCTGCAGGCAATTAGGGTTATGGCAACAGAGTCACTGAGCAGCACAGAACTTGGAAAGCAAAGCAAAGTGGTGGACTGAGCCACCATGGCTCTACATTCGCCCAGCAGTTTAGGCACAACACAGCTCAGCCCTTACATCACCTCTGCCTCCAGGGCTCAGTGGGGTAGAGGAGGGTCTGCTCCAAGTCAGGGTAACTTTGGTCTAGAAGGTCAGTTATGACAGCAGGCAAAGTGGTGATAGGAAGGGGTCCTGAGTCAGAACACAGCCTTGTGGCCTAATAAAAAGTTCAAAGTGGAGCCGGATTAGAGCCTTTCATAGCCTCAGGCTGTCTGAGTTCTGCCCCCGCCTCCGCCCCCCTCCCCCCACCACACACACACATTCACCTGCCTTTTCTGGCCCATGCTAGTTAGCTGCTGATAGCTTACAGTTGAAACTGCACCAGGGTCCAGCACATCCTTGCAGACCTTCAGAGAGCCCACCTGCCCCCATAGCTCATCACTGTACAGGGAGAAACTCTGACATTTTTCCACACTAAAGAAGACACCACAGAGGGTTGTGGTGGTAGAATTCCATTCTAAGTAAAAGGCAGAAAAATAGAAGCATATGTTCAAAATATGCAAAAGTTCATGGTCACTGTGACTGCTTGTTCAGACATGATAGGGCTTGAGTGGGTTGTAGGATCTCTTAAAACAAGGTGACACTGAACCAGCTCCAACAGTAGTAGAAGGTCTAGTTCTAACTCCCTTACACAGACATTTTATTCCACAAATATTTATCTGTGCCACCTAATAGGTATTTCAGAATGACCTGCTAGACTTTCTTCTAGGTCCCCAAAATTAGTCAATGAATTAAAAAAAAAAGTATCTGTCTTCACAGACCTTACAGTTCAGTGGAAGGAAACAAACAAATAAATGCAAATGTCAGGTGGGGAAAATGCTGTAGTGGAGTGAGGAGAATATAAGGGGAGAGGAGTCTGTGTGTGTATGAGTGTGTGTGTACACACATATGGCATGGATGACTTAAACTGGATGGTGAAGAAAGTCTTTCTGATAAGGGGACATTTGAGAAAATTCCTGAAGGAAGCAAGGGACCAAGCCTTGTGGATGCATATCTGCAAGAAGAGAATTCCAGGTAAGTGCCAAGACCCTGATGAATAGAACTGCGCTTCACACAGTGTAAGGAACCACAGAGAAACCAGTGTGACGAGAGGGCGATGAGCCAAGGGCTCAGGGCTCAGGGCTCAGGGCTCAGGGATGGCAGCTCAGTGGGGATGGACTATTAGGGGCACTGAGGCCACTGTAAGGGGCTGACTTTGACTGTGAGGAAGATGGGAATCGCAGGGAGGTTCTGATCACAAGTATAATATGAGCTGACTTTCCTTTTAAAAAGGTTCTCTCTGCTGTTCATGGAGAAAGACTATAGAGACAAAGGTGGAAACAAAAAGACCAGCTTTTGACCATTATAAAAAAAAATCTGTTTCATAAATGACCCCAATGCCTGGCAGGTATAAAAATGATACAGTAGAGATCTCAAGTTTAAAAAGGAGAAAGACAGGCTGGCAGTGACCCTTTTGGAAGATTTGCAAGCAACGTGTACTGGGAGCCTGTAAGGATCAGGTAGGGTGAGCGGCTGCTCAGAGAGGGATACAGACGAGAGGGAACAAACATCGAACAGAGATTCACACCTGGGCCTGCCTCTGAGACACTGGTTAACCACTGCCTTCAAACTGCTGCCAAATCTCATCATCGCTTTCTTCCCATTTCAGCCAAAATGAACTTCCTAACGTGCAGGTCTGACTCTCTCGCTGCCCTTAAAGCTCTTCATTGCTTGCCTATTGCCCTGAAGACAAATCCAAACCCCTCAATAGGCTGTTCAGATCGTTTAGGATGTAGCCTCTGAGCTCTAGAATATGGAAAGTCTCATTTGCTGAACATGAAAACACTTTCTTGCTGCCAGGTCTTTGAATGTTGTGTTTTCTGTGCCCCATACTATTTTCCTTCTTGGAAGCAAGTTTCAAAATAGCACAACAGCAAATGAGAGCCGAGTGCCTGAGAGAATAACACCAGGTCCCATTCTTAAACACTATCCCAGGCACCACGCTGAATTCTTTACATGTATCATTACGCCTAACACTCACAAGAACCAGCATTGCGGTGTTACACAACTCCTACTGATGCCACTCCCGTTATAGCACCCTCTGTGGTTGAGCAGTGCACAGCTCTCAAACAATATCCTGTGCAGTAGATATCACTGGCCCATTTTGGAGGTGGGAGAACTGAGGCTCAGATAGGTTGAGTACTTGTTAAATGTCATACAGATATGGTAGGCAGTTAGATAGACATGAGCAAAGCAAGGAAGATAGGCCAGGAACAGAAGGTCACCAAGAAGCAAAGTCCTGTGTGCCTGGCATCAAGCAAAACTGGGAAAACAAGGACCTTGCCCCCAGGGTAACTTTTCCTCCCCTAGCTGGTCAGGCGGTGTAGACCCCTTGACCGTTCACAGCCCTGGTCAGATGGTTCGGGCCCTCCCCTGACCTTTCCTCCCATGGCATGTTGCTAGTCATGTGAGTTAGCTACCCCTAGAGGGGGAAAGATGATGGGGGTGGGGAATAGCCCTGAAGCATGAAGCCCCCAGGACAATGAGGTTCTGACCCACGTCATATACATCTAGGCCTTGGTTGGGTTTCAGCTCCAGGCCCAGAAAAGTAGCAAAACCAGGGAAGTGATGCCAGGATGGACCACAGGGCCAGCTGCATTGACTAACTACCCCCTGCCTGGTGCCATCCAATCATGGAGACCAGGACTCTGAAAAGGTCCACCTGGAAAGCTGATGAATATTCTATTGAGAACCTTCCCTGGGACCTCCCCTGACATTTCCACCCTTAAAAGCCCTTAGGACAGAGGACCCAACGAGCTGTTCCTCTTGGAGGAGCCAGCCTTTCCTGCCACCTCCCATTCTCTCCGTCCACCGCCCCGCACCACCCCCCCCCAAGATGCTTTACCTTTTTCTTTGTTTCACAAGCTTCGAGAGCCCTTCTTTTGTCTCTGTAACTTGTCTCCTGAGCCCATTTCCTCTACAGCTCACTTCTTCTAACTTTGTGACTTTCTTATTAAGTTTTTGCTTATATTTTGAGTCTTGGCTCGGAATTCTTTCTTAGCCAGAACTCAGGTACTGAGATTGCTGAACCCAGGTCTGGTCTGACCCCATGGGTCTAATACTTGGTACCATTCTGGCCTCTAACACAGAAAGTAAACTCTTGAACTGAGATTCAAACCCTGGTCTGTCTCTGAGATGATGTAATTAACTGCTCCATTATATCATTCCTGATAGTGTGTGAAGTCATCTTTGAGAACTATTAAACCTGGACTTGGACGAGCCCATTGGAAAAACCTCTTGGTTTTCCTGCAGGGTAGGAGGGCCTCGGTGGCAAAAGTCCCATGGAAGGTTTCCAACAGCCTGGCTTTTATCTCATGGATTAGAGACTCAAACAGGCATCAAGAGCTGCGATGTGACCTGTGGGCTGGCATGTTCCTAGAGACAGCTGCCCTTCACTCTCCACTCCCTGGCCTCTCAGCAATTACCTGGCAACCCCTTCCTGCTTGCACTCTCGGGCAACCTCTTAGGTTAGCCAAGAAAAAGCCCTGCCCCAGCTCACGTCTCATAGTATGTTCTTAGCCAAAAGGGTACCAGATGTGCAAGGGTGGAGGAAGCAGTGAAAATCTATCACCACCAACAGAGAAAAAGGAAGAGGGCTTCTA